GCAGGTCCTGAGAGCAGCCACTGCTAACCCAAGATTTTCAGACTGCCCTCCAAAGCACACGGACAAGATACCAGAGTACCTGGCACACATTTGTTTGTTCATGCAGCGAATGGTTGTTGACAGGTGCGGGCATTTCATCTGTCAGATAAGGGACCTAGGACATGATGAGGTAGTAGTTGGCTGCACAGCGTGGACCAGAGAGTACACATCCACCAAGCCCAACCCCTGCAGATGTGAAGGAAGTGACCGAGCCCCCTGCTGCGCCCCGACATGTGCCTCGGCCACTGTTGGTGTTCGGCCAGTAAAGCGAAAGAGGTCCATGGATGGTGGAAACATACCAGTGGAGCAGGTCCTGAGAGCAGCCACTGCTAACCTGAGGTTTTCAGACTGCCATCCAGAACACACGGACAAGATAGCAGAGTCCGTGGCACAAATTTGTTCATGCAGCGGATGGTTGTTCACAAGCGCTGGCCTTTCATCCGTCAGATAAGGGATTTAGCACATGATGAGCTAGTAGTTGGCTGCACAGCATGGACTAGACAGTACACATCCACCAAGCCCAACCCCTGCAGATGTGAAGGAAGTGACCCAGCCCCCTGCTGCGCCCCGACATGTGCCTCGGCCTGCTGGTGTTCGGTCGGTAAAGCGAAAGAGGTCCATGGATGGTGGAAACACACAAGTAGAGCAGGTCCTGAGAGCAGCCGCTGCTAACCCAAGGTTCTCAGACTGCCCTCCAGAGCACACGGGCAAGATAGCAGAGTCCCTGGCACACAACCATTCGTTCATGCAGCGAATGGTTGTTCACAGGTGCCGGCATTTCATCCGTCAGGTAAGGGACCTAGCACATGATGAGGTAGTAGTTGGCTGCAGAGCGTGGACCAGAGAGTACAGATCCAGCAAGCCCAACCCCTGCAGATGTGAAGGAAGTGACCGAGCCCCCTGCTGCGCCCCAACATGTGCCTCGGCCACTGTTGGTGTTCGGCCAGTAAAGCGAAAGAGGTCCATGGATGGTGGAAACATACCAGTGGAGCAGGTCCTGAGAGCAGCCACTGCTAACCTGAGGTTTTCAGACTGCCATCCAGAACACACGGACAAGATAGCAGAGTCCGTGGCACAAATTTGTTTGTTCATGCAGCGGATGGTTGTTCACAAGCGCTGGCCTTTCATCCGTCAGATAAGGGATTTAGCACATGATGAGCTAGTAGTTGGCTGCACAGCATGGACTAGACATTACACATCCACCAAGCCCAACCCCTGCAGATGTGAAGGAAGTGACCCAGCCCCCTGCTGCGCCCCGACATGTGCCTCGGCCTGCTGGTGTTCGGTCGGTAAAGCGAAAGAGGTCCATGGATGGTGGAAACACACAAGTAGAGCAGGTCCTGAGAGCAGCCGCTGCTAACCCAAGGTTCTCAGACTGCCCTCCAGAGCACACGGACAAGATAGCAGAGTCCCTGGCACACAACCATTCGTTCATGCAGCAAATGGTTGTTCACAGGTGCCGGCATTTCATCCGTCAGGTAAGGGACCTAGCACATGATGAGGTAGTAGTAGGCTGCACAGCGTGGACCAGAGAGTACACATCCAGCAAGCCCAACCTCTGCGGATGTGAAGGAAGTGACCGAGCCCCCTGTTGCGTCGCGACATGTGCCTCGGCCTGCTGGTGTTCGGTCGGTAAAGCGAAAGAGATCCATCGATGGTGGAAACACCAGTGGAGCAGGTCCTGAGGGCTGCCGCTGCTAACCAGAGGATTTCAGACTGCCCTCCAGAGCACACGGAAGAGATAGCACAGTCCCTGGCACACATTCGTTTGTTCATGCAGCGAATGGGCAGTCACAGACACCTGCATTTCATCCGTCAGATAACGGACCTAGCACACACTGAGGTAGTAGAGAAACGACAGCCGTAGGAGGACAGGGAAAGGGAGGACATATAGAGGCAAGAGAGGGAGAAGCTGCTTGAGGCCGAGATGGAGAGATACGAAAGAGAAAAGCAGGAGGTGCAGGGAAAGGAGATGGAGGTCAGGCTGAGAGTAGTGGGATTCAGCTCGTCAAGTAGACTTTACGGTAGAACCAGAGACTTATGACTTCACTAATGACTGAGCATAGTGGGTGCTGCCACATTCCGTTCCACCATAAGTCCCAGCATGGCAGATGCTGTGCACCATCACAGGCAATGACGCGCTGTAATCGCGTCGTGTGAATGTGTGCTACGCGCGACGCCGCACGAAAACGGCAGGTCACGTGACATGGTCTCAGCGCCGGATTGGCATCACCTGCTGATGGAGTCGGCCGTGCTCCAAATTGTGGTCGCACGGAGTATAGGACATGAAGATCAGAGATGGTCGTGTGCTCTGTTGGAAGGTGGAACATGGTCTTCCTCATCCTATCTGCATTCTTTCTATTCGCACCTTTTTCTGTAACTGCCATCAAACTCACTCTCATTAAACTGCCTGATCCGCGTGACTTGCCATCATGGCTACCTTTTCACTAATTGCTGCTTTCTTCCGAGGCTTCACGTGCTTTCACTGTGCTTCTTGGTTTGGCCCGTTGCTGGAAAGCGTTAGGGGTCTCCTTGATCATCATTGTCTCGAGCCAGATGGCTTGCTTGCTTTTCTAAATGCATGTCTTGGTTGTGGGATCTGCTGGTGCTTGCAAATAAGTTAGGTTATGGTATATGTTTGTTATTACGGTTTTATGGTCGAAGCCTATGATGCTGGTTCGAGACGAACATGATGTCAAGAGGTTTGGATTTTTGCTGGTGCTGTAAAGGTCTGCCAGTCTCCATGTGGTCGAACTGGAGTGTGTTGGTCAAGTGGGAACTGGTACGTTGGAAATTTGCATTTCAGCTTAAAACAAATGCGAGAAATTCTTCTTGCCTCCCTTTTATACCTTTAGTTCAATCAAATGGCCCAGTGCCCCAAATGAACGTTTTTTTCTCAATGGCATAAAGACGGCCTAAATGCCTCCGCTCTAGGTCCGTAAAACATTTAGCGCCTTTATTTGTGAACTTTGTTTGAGGAAAGTAATTTTTCTTTTTATGTTCTAAAAACACGTCCATCACCTAGGTGTCAGATTTTTAAACGTTTTTTAAAGATGCCTTTAATCTGTCAGGTCCACACTGTAGTATAACGATGGAAGAAAAACAGGAGTGAGCTTTCTTATCTAGGAAAACAAACACACGCATAGTCAAAAACCATTCCACACAAGTTTTAAGGGGGGACACCATTCAGAAAACATTTCTGCAAAAAAAGTTGATTTTGAAAAATGTCATAATTACATTCACCAACATCAAGAGATTATTCCCAGAAAGTTTCATTAGCCTACACTGCATAGTTAATTTCTTATAAATTATTTTCGGGCCACCGATGCTAAAGGAAAGATAGAGGTTGGAGCATTTTGAACACATTTTTCTCTATTCCACTTTTTGGCATAAACTTCACTTTAGGAAAACTATCGTTCTGTTACTATGTAACTTGGATTCATTTTTTTTATTTTTTGGGGTGAAATTTTAAGGGGAGATAGCTATGAGCTAGTATTTTTTTTTTGTCATTTTTATGCTCAAGAACTAAAATGTTTGACAAAGAATGGAAATCTAAAAAAACTGGATTTGTGTTTATGTGGCTTTCTTGTCATCAAAGATGGTATAATATAGAAATATAGGTCCACAGCTATCTGCTCTGAACTGTCCTAAAACAATATAACACATGGAAACGACAAATTTATAAATAATTTCAAAACGATAGCTGTTCTTGGGGCAAGTTCCGGCATGAATTGGCAACATTGAACAAAATAGGTGGACGATCCAGGATTGATCTGTTTATCTGCCGAAATAAGATCCAATTCATTCATTTCTTTGCGTCGTCAGTTGCATATTGCACCGTTGCACTCGTCGCTGCCATTCTTCTGCAGTTTGCGACATGGACGGCATCTTGCTGGGGGATATCCAGAAAAAGCGGTTCAGCGTACGCCACCTGCAATTCGCATCTGGCGTGCGTATGTGTATGTTTAGTGTAGGGGAAGGCACCACAGCGTCGTTGCTCAGGCAGGTGCAACGGTGGCGACTGAAGTTGAAGTTTGCAGTTTTGTACATTGGAGGACACGACCTGGTGAACAGCCAGCCACCGGACGTGATCGTAGGCAACATCCTGGTACGTTGGGTATTTTTGACCTCATATTCGTGTTAGTGGCCACACACCACGAAATTCAGACACTGCAACTTGTTCACTTATTCAGAGGTCCTTGTGGAGCACCTGCGGAGCATTGCGAGCACCATTTTCGTGTTCAAGGTGCTGCGAAGGTGCTGGGTCAACCAGAAAGCTGAGGGCCACAGACTACTGATGAACCGTGTGGTGGCTGCCGCCACGCTGACTGCGCCGGCAGAGGGCAAGGCGCCCGACGGCAGCGCCACGCGCCGGCAGGGCGCAGCTTGGGGGGGAGGCGCAGGGGCATTAAGGGTCGAGACGAGGAATAAAGAAGACGTAAGAAATCCTTCCTTGTTGTTACGTGTTTTTCCGGGGTGGACCGCACGGACGAGAGCACGGGCCTTCCAGGCTGTGGGCATGGAAACCTAGAACCGCCACCTCGCAAGAAACGTGAGGCGGATGGCTGACGTCTTCCTCATCAACCCGAATGTAACCTGTGCCTTTTATCTGTAGTCTAGTAGAATTGGGCAGGGGCCACTGGCCTCTCTGTGGTGTCTGCAGTCTAAATAGATATCTGTCACAGAATTCAACTATTTTTTTTTTAATCTTTTGTTAAACTTTTTGCAAGGGAGCGCATCCGGTCGTCGGAAGCTCCCTTGCCCCGCACGTTGAGCGGCAGGGTTCGGGCCCCGTCCACTTTTTGTTTTATGACCCCTGGCCCCCTCGTCGGTTGAGCGGGAGAGTTCGGGCCTCGTCCGCTTTCTGTCTTATGGCCCCTTGCCCCCCTCTCCCCCCCCCCCCCCCCCCCCCCCGTCCCGAAGACGTTTCTCGCAGGGCTGTTAGTTGGAGGCAATGGGCCGACTCGCTTCCCGGAATGTTCGGAATAGCTTCCAGATGTTCGAGCGGGGGTGCGCTTTATGGTTCGCTGGGGTAGGCTCACTGTGGGGCTTGCCGATGTGACGTGTGTTTTTTTTTTATATGTATTTTGTTGTTGCCGCTGCAGAGAAACAATTATTTTTTGGGCAAGGAAGAGTGGTGTCTGCCGCTGGAATTTGGGAAAGTGAGGACCTCGGCTTGATTCCGAGCCGAGTGGCTGAGTCAAGGCAGTGTGTGCGAAGACTTGGCCGGAGGGTGAACGCAACGCGAAGTCTGGGCGTCCCGCCCAGACTTCGCGTTGCGTTCACCCTCCGGCAGTAGCGACGGAAGGCTGAGCGCGGGAGGAGTTTGGGCTCCCTGGTCCAAGCGCTGCTTTAGGCGCCCAAGTGTGTGTGCGTTCATGGGTGAGTGAGTGCCTGTGCCGAGGAGCCACGCCGACAGCACCCAAGCGCACATCGACCTCCCGAGTTCGGTCGGCATCGCAAGAGGCCGCATCAACCCCATCACCCACCGGACTCAGGTTCGCACCACTCACCCCCATATTACTTTGTATAGTTTATCCCTCCTTTAGTTGTTTTTTTTTAATTTGAGGGCAAGTGCTTAGATTGCAGAAAAATTTCTTTCTGAACGAGCGCTGTGTTTTCATGTACAGATATTATCATACAAGATAAGTCGCGCCTCAGCGCTTACTCTGTGGGGCGGTCCGTTGTGTCTTGCTGTCGGAAGTTTTGTTTGTTTTGTTTTATGGATTGTCTATCGGATTTTCAGTAAACCATCTTGTGGTTGAAAAGAAAAGAGTCTGTGTTGTTCCTTCTCCCCTCACCGTGTGTCCGTCACCAGGGCGTGGCCCTATCGTCCGATCAGCTGTCCTATCAAAATTATAAATTTGTTTGCATAGGATATCATTTTGATTTTTTATTGTTAATTTTCATCGAACCTGTGACAATGTCCTTGTCATGAAGTGTCCTATTCATAAGGATTGAGTTTCACGCAAGAAGGTGGACGCAAATATGTGCAAGAGCGTGAGTTCCTTGATCAGGAAGCATTCGTAACACCAAAAATTCAGAATTAACAATTATCACAATCATATATGCACCGACTATTCCTTGCGGTAACAAAGAAGTTGCTTAGCTTGTGGCTTGGCGATCCCTTGCATGTGCGTCTCGGTTTCGCAGACCGAAGACAGTTGTCCAAATTGAACCTCTCTGGTTACAAAAGTGCCAAAAGATTTTGCTCGCAAACCAAGAAGCACAACGGAGGTTGACCGCAGGAAAGCGATGGAGTTCAGACTTTTATTACCTTACACTGGGCCGGCAGTGTTGAAGTCTGTCCTTCACCCTGGCCTTTACATGAACTTCCTCCCTTTGCACTGTGTTACATTTCTTGTGTCAAGTCCCAGCTTAAGTCATCAATATGTTTATCATGCGGAGCCTCTTCACCACCACTTCGTAAGGACTTTTGCAAAGCTGCATGGAGATGAAAAGGTGTCATACAATGTTCACTGTGTGTCGCATCTCGCAGCTGATGTACGAAATCAAGGACCATTAGATGCATTTAGCACATTTCCTTTTGAGAACAATCTGCAGCACTTGAAGGGACTTCCCCAGAGCCATGCTCAGCTCTACAACCGCTTAAAGGAGCAGGGGGGTCAAGTGGACGCAGCCAGGATGTCTCTAGACAGTGTCCAGCTAACAAATAAGCATGCAGATGGACCTATTCCACCAGCTTGTAGGCCGCCTGCATCACGCAGGTCTTTAACCTGCGTGATGCAGGTTAAAGACCCCCCCCCCCGGGCTGGCGGTCACAATTCTGCACTGGCTAATATTCTAGCACGTCCGGGACGCTCACCAACTTCGCAGAATCTAGATATCACACCCTAACTTTTCTAAACTCGATTTCATGAAAACCAGTGAGTCGTGAAAACGTTATTTGAAACTGAAACTGTGGAAAAACTTGAAAATCGGACTTCGAACTTTGAAAACTTGGACTAAAAAAAAAATTCAAAATCTTCAGTTTTTTTTGTTTTTTTTTTTTATTTAGCGTTAAAAGAGAATCGAAACCTTCGAACTTTTCAAACTTTATGCAAAAAGAAATTCGAAATCTTCGAATTGTTCGAACTTCGTGTCTATAAAAATTCGAAGCGTTCGAAGTTTTCGAATTTTTTTTACACAGAATTTTGAGATCTTCGAATTTATCGAACCTGAAGTAAAAAATATTCGAAATATTCGAATTCAAAATTTTGGAAACCGTGAAAGCTTCGAAATTTTCGAATTCGAAACTCCGCTGTGGTCAAAAGTTGCGAATTTTTTAAATCGAACCTCGGTCGGTATGAAAATATCGAATTTTTCGAAATCGAACCTCAGTTCGCTTCGCAAATATCGAAACCTTTCGAAATCGAACCTAGGGTGGTTCGCGACATCCCTACTGCAAACTAAATTGTCCTTAGGAATGTACAGGCAAATACCATGTAAGCCAATACTGGCAACTCCCGCAGATCGAGGGCGAAAAGCAATCGCAGCGCCCCTGGCGAGCTCGGAGTATTCGCTAGCAGACGAATTCTCCACAATGCATTGGTTTTGCCTATCTCCGTGCAAGGTGAGCAACGAAAAAAAAATGGTCACGGGTATTCGCTGCTTTGAATGATAAAAAGTAGGTTCCACCTCATGAGTCAAGGATATTTTCTTCGCGAGGGGAAGATGTTACAGCTTGTAGGGTGCAATTTTCGGGCTCTCCCGAACAAAACATTCCGACAGAAGACTCGGAACTTATGTCTGCCAGGCGAGACACGAATGTACCTTCGCCGTCTTTCTTTGAAAGGGGTAATGTAAAAAACGTCTTAGAACATTGCTACGTTTCAACTTTACTGTGCATATCGATCAGTTTTTTTGTTGTTTTTTTGTTGTTGCAATTTCAATTTCTCACGATTGTATTGCTTACAACCGTTTCGTCGAATAGGCGAGCTGGCTACACCCCGATCGTCTCTGGATGAAGAAGCAAAAGGCAATTTCGAACCACGTACCTTACTGCGATGTCAGTATGCTCTGGGAAAAGATGATTGTGCAATCTGACGCTATTACTGAAACTAATAAAAGCGGAGTTACAAAAAAGAACACCCGGTGGACGGTCGTGCACCTCCTTCCATTTTTCAAAGTCTACTTTCTTTTTATGTTTGAGGCGACGGTACGCCGTCGTTGTCTTTCTTCCTCCTGCGTTTATGTTTTATTTTGCTTTTTTTCTTTCTTGTGCGTACTTGACGTTCGAACCATCGCGTATTTTGCTTTGCCTTGTTTGGCTTAGTTTTTACTTTCTTTCCTTCGCTTCGTCGCTTACTGCCACCGGTTCGTCTGCTACGCTATGCCTGAACATTTGGAGGGCCGTCTGCAACTTTGTTGTTATTGTTGTTTTTCCCCTGTCGTCTATGATAACCTCCTATGTTCGCCTTCGATTGAGTTTCTGATCCGAAATCTTCATATGTACTTTTTGATACTTAATAAATATATTAAGGAGTGTAAGCTCGTTATCCATTTCTATTTGGATTTTATTTGAGTACGCGGTCCCGTCTGCTATGAGTCATAGTTGGTTGATCAACCGGCCGCCTTCGGGCATACACCAGTGCATACTTGGAGATGGCAGGCATGCCGTGTGCCTGCCATCTCCACTGCGAAAACAAGTTTTTCTGATGTGGTGGAAAATGCTTCTTCCTCTTCCCGAAGACAAAGCAAACGTGAGTAATTAAGTTACTTCAAATTAAACTGGAACAGCTATCCAAGTCTGGCTTCAAAATCGCCACTCACGCCTCAACAAACGAATATTTCACCAAACGAAAGTTCAGCTGAAAACGCACTTGAGGCCGCTGATCGACACACAAAACAAAGGCACGGTGTGCAAGGATTGCCTAGACATGTACGCCAACAAGTATACTGGAATGTACTTTTGAACTGCTGCGCCAAGCGAGCAAACAAACAACCTCTCAAAGTCACTGGGAAAAGAAAAGCGAAAGCAAAAAAGGTCACACACTGCTAGCACGTACCAGATTGCAGCTCTTTTGTTCTTAGTCCCTACCAACGCCGCGAAAGCAAATAAACAAACGTGTAATGTGCACCTGAAAAAAAAAAAAAAAAAAAAAATGAAGCTCTTTTTTTTTTTGTAGTTTTGTCGTGTTGCTTCCGCTTTGTTTGTTCTGGACTCAACACCGAGGGCAAGCACCACCTGTTAATTTTCAACCGACGACCCGTGCGATCGTCGTCGTTGAAGAAAATCTTTGCTGGGTAATTTGTATTTTTGTATCGTCTCCTAACTTCTTCGTTGCAATCGCCGGCCGCTGTGCGCGACTGTTCTCCATTTTTTATTTTCGTCTGGGATGGGACCTTATCTTTTCTGCAGAGTTCGGAAAGTGTTTGCACGGTCATTTTTCTCGTTACTTTTTGTTTTTTAATGCTGCAGAGGATGGTGTACTTCCTCTGGTAATTTTAACATATTGTTTGCGCACGTTTTAATAATCACCTATTCAGGTAAGAAATTGTGACAACACAGTTTGTAACGGATAAACAGTAACTTCTTAAGACATAGTTTGAGTGGCTCAACGCCTTTTTTCCGCTTCCCAGGTGCACTTCAAACGCGTGTGATCCCCCCGAGTGGCGTACGAGACCTCTAAATAAACTGCTCTATCTTCGTTTATGCGCGCGTTGTTATTTATTTGTCGTTGTAGTTGCAATCAGCGGATTCTGCTTTGCAAATGGGTTGACTGTAATGAGTTATTTCAGCTGTTAGGGTGAAGAAACGGGGCACGCAAAGCTCGAGGACGTCGCGGAGCCTATACTTCTCTATTGCGTTGTCCGCTTCCGTAGACTCCGAGTCCGCTAGAGGCGCCACTGTCACGTTCGCCGCATTTCCCATAGGTTTTCAGAGGAGTTACCAGAATTGGCGAAGCTATATCGTATTTGGTACAGGTTTTTCAAGTCGGATATCGACAGCATATATGACAATTCCAGGGGAAGCACATTGCTGTTCGAGGCAAGGTCAAGAGTGTTGCATTGCAGGACATACAGAGCTAGATACCAAGAAGTAGACATGTCATGCACAGCGTGTGGGGAGAAGGATGAAACAGCTGAGAACTTTATTTTAAAGGGCTTCGCCCTGCAGTTGCTTAAGGTGCGGCTGATTTTAAGGCACTGGGTTTTAAGGGTAGCGAGGAAAAGGTATACTTTGGGAGTGTAGAAAAAATGAAACAGAGGTTGTCTGATTAGTGGTACAAGTCGAGGGATGGCTGAACTTTCCTCCTTTCCTCTTCGTGGTGACCTCTATGGTGGAAGGCACGTGCCATCGGTTGAGAAGAGGCGCTGCAATCACACGGAACCTAAGTTTTGGAATGGTTATCCTAAAAAGGCTTCTCCTTGAATTTCGAGGTGCATAGTAATAATTAACATATAAAATTAAGAACAATGGCTAGATGGTGCGAGCCACCATCTTATTTTAAGGGGTTCAGCCATATCCATCCATCCATCCCTCCTGTGATGAAGA